TGAAAACCTGTACAGTCATGTGAACAAGCCTCAGGCTAGCCTGCTGGATGAAGACAGACCAAGTGGACCAGAGGAGCTAAGTCAGCCCAGCTGTCGGGGCAGGCCTCAGAGACATGAGAGTACAGGAAATGTCAACAAAGCCAACCAACAGCTGACCCGTGTCTGCCTGCAGGTGCATGAGGCAGCTAAGCCAAGAACAGAAGGACCACCTGCTGAGCCCAGTCCCAGTTGCCAGGACACAGTATCATGAGCTGGATTAATGGTATGGTTTTAGGCCACTTAGTTTGGGGTTGTTTGTTATACAGGTATAGATAACTAATACATCATTTAACAAAATTTGGGTGGAGGGTGGGAATCTGAGTATCAGAGAAAGCAATGTGTGTCCCTTACTCCACACTCAACTTTCACTGCAAACAAATGCCATTATTTTTTTACACTTAACTTGTCCAGGTGTTGCTGGAAAAGATTTCTTTTTTCTTCTTTTTTAAAGATTTATTTATTTGAGAGAGAGAGAGAGAGAGAGTACAAATGGAGGGAGGGGCAGAGGGAAAGAATTTCCAGCAGACTCCACACTAAGCATGGAACAAAATGAAGGGCTCAATCCCACAATGCACAAGATCATGACCTGAGCTGAAACCAAGAGTCGGCACTCAGCTGACTGAGCCACTCAGGCACCCCATAGGGGAATATATCTGGCTAATGTCTAGTTAGTGGCAGAGCCAATAAATCAGTTCATCTACATCCTGTCTGCAAAGGGTTAGTTCCGGAGCCCCCTGCATTTTTGGACATTAGCCCCAAGAAAAGCCAGCATCCATGGCTACAGTGCCCACAAAGGACATTTGTCAGTTCCTGCTGCTAGCTCCCTGGAGGTGTGCAGTGATGGGTGGGCACCAGAAGGTAAAGACTGCGGCACTAACTATGGGACTTAAAGTCCTAGAGCCTCAGTTTCTTCATCAGTAAAATAGGGACAGTCCCGCTTGCCTCCTAGGGATTACTAGTAGGATGAAATGAAATAGTACATGTGTGGAGCCTATCTCATTATAGGATTGGGGTGAGTAGTGAGGGAAATCATGCAAAGGTGGGACCTAGCATAACTGACCTTGGGAAAGATGTCTTCCCCCACATGAATGAGGAGATAATCCTGGTGCGCCCTTGCCTGCCATAAGCCTAATGTACAATGATCTCTGAGCCATTGGAGGAGGCCCAGGGCAGGGGGGACTTCCCCTTTGCCTCAGAAATCATGTGCCTTGCAGTGGAGTCCTCCTTTAAAGACTTAGCTGACGCCCCAGTCAGGACGGGGCTGTACTCTTGGCAAAACTTCTCAGTTCTTTGTGCTAGCAATGTAGTGTTTAGTGAATTTCTTCCTGTTTTTGAGCCCAGAAGTGATTGTGTTGGTGGCCAGGGCACGTGTTTTCCTCACAAGAGAACATGGGAGTGGGAATGGTTTGCTCATTTGCAGCCAGTTCCCTCCTGCCCCCCTCAGTCTGTACCTCCACCCGTCAGCATTGCTCCAATTCCTATGGGTCAGCAGGCTGGGCCCAGGGGTGTAGATTTATGTCTATCAGAAGTTTGATTGAGGGCTAGCAAGAGTCATTTGAGATGTGATGACAATCACAGGGCCAGACCCTACAGTTGTGGCTGCTGTTTCTTTTCACAGACTTTTCTCAGGGGCCTTCTGTCTCAAGCAGTTGCCAATACTTACTAAAAAGCTTCATATTTCCCCATAGCCCTAGGAAACTTTTTTTTTTAAGGATTTTACTTATTTATTCATGAGAGACACACACAGAGAGAGAGGCACAGACACAGGCAGAGGGAGAAGCAGGATGCATGCAGGGAGCCTGATATGGGACTTGATCCCAGGTCTTCAGGATCACATAGCCCTAGGACACTCTAAAGGAGAAAACATTCAAGCTTTGGGTCATCTACTTTTTTTGTCACCCCTTCGCATTCCATATTCTTCCAGAATTTTTGTACACACACACAGGCCCACACTGATATACATATATGTATGTAGTTCTCCAAATACATGTGTGGGTATACATATGACAAGACAATACATGTATGCAAATGCATACATACATGTATATATGTAAAATGGATTGGACTGATTAGTGGCGTCTTGTTTTCACTTAATATATCAAAACATCTTTTCTGATCAGTAAACCCTTAGTAAAAGATGACAACCTGGTGCCATGGAGGGGAAGTCTTGCTTGACATTATCTTTTTCTTTTTTTAAAGATTCTATTAACTTATTCATGAGAGGCACAGAAAGAGAGAGGCAGAGACATAGGCAGAGGGAGAAGCAGGCTCCATGCAGGGAGCCCGACGTGGGACTCGATTCCTGGATTCCAGGATCATGCCCTGAGCCGAAGGCAGACGCTCAACTACTAAGCCACCCAGGCGTCCCTACAGTATTTTTTCAAGAACTGAACTTGAATGTCTTAGGAAGGGGTATGTCTCCTTCGGTCCCTGACTGGCCCTGAGGGTGTTTGAGATGGCCATCTCAAGTTTGATATCCTTATTGATGATTATTAGTATCCTACCGTATCAATCGTTATTTCTCAGTAGTAACTGGCATTTGGGGTCAGGCAATTCCCTGTTTTCCTGGACTATTTTGTATATTGCAGGACACTTAGCATCTCTGACTTCTACTGACTCATGCCAGGAGTGCCCCTAGGTCAGTGTGACAACCCAAACTGACCCTGTGCATGGCCAAACAGTACCATCTATTACTATGGATTGTCCTTCATAGATATGTCTGAGTATAAAGATCATGCATTTTAGTTTATCTGGGGGCAGTCCCAGGCACTCTTGCAGTCCAGATGTACTTATTAATAGTACTGCTTTCCTCTCTGAAATGTCCTTGTTTGGGTGATAAACCATTTGGTCACTCTAAGACTGTATTTTGGAACTGGTTAGATTTGTCAGAGTTCTGGACAGGAGATGTTAGACATGCTACATGTGTTCAGTATGTCTTCCCAGAATTAACCCATTTGTCTGATGGTGGATGGCTTCCACTGGGCAGTGCCACCATGGACATATTCTAATCCCTGCTCCAGGACTCAACATCAGGGCATTCAGTGACAAGGGCACATTAAAAAAAAAAAAAAAAGAGTGAATAGATAATTGGCTTAAAGCCAGAACTAGATTGGAGAAACAGGATGTCTGGTGATCCCTTGGATTCAAGAAGACCCGGAACTTGCAAGGAGGGACAACTTCTTTTATCCACCCTCTGTGAAACCCCAAACAATGAGACAGGCTGTGAATATGTTATTAATCTTTATGTTGTGCACTGTGAGGATATCTGTGCTTTACATGTAAAGATTAATAATTTCTCACTGAAACAACTTTTGCCTCTGTAGGGGTAAAACCACTCCTGTTGAGAAGGCATGGCCTAGAGAGTTCAGCTCAGGACTGACGTTTTATAGACTAAATCCAGAGAAAGGAAAGGGAGTAGGACCTCAGTGTGTCAAGGGCTTCAGGGCCCTCTCACCCTCTCCACCTTGGAAACTGGCATTTTCCCTGAGCCCATCCACAGGTGGAAGGTCAGCTTTGTTTGCAACCCCCAGCCATGGGTAATAGAGATCACTCAGGCCAGAGCCAGAACTCAGGGTTCCCAAGTCTTGGGCTAGAGCTCACCACTTTAGTCTCTTCTGTCTCTCTCTGGATTTCTTCCTAAGATGCTTAAACCTCCATTCCCATTTACATCTCAAAGATGGAATAGGTTTGTTTGGAAGGACCAAATATCTCAGAGAGAAGGCTCCCAGAAGCTTCAGGATGTGTGTTCAATAGTCACATACAAGGCAAACATGGTGGAGTGAGACTCTTTCTATGGGCTGGTTGGAGAGATAGATTCCATCGTATTTGACTTTAGAAACTTTGTAATTGACCTCCTCATGAGAGGACACATGCTTCAATCACGCTGGGCTCCAGAAAGATTTTCCCCAAGAGTCATGCCTGGGAGCAGCTGGTTATCTGGGATATGGAAGAGGATTCACCCCAAACCTCCTGAATGCAAAGGAGCTGGGTTCTCAACATGGAAGATAGCTGGAGCTGACCTGGCTGCAGACCCTGCTTCTGCCTAATGCTGTTTCCAGCTGGATCCTTAAGCATTTAAAGCCAGCCCCATGCAGGAAATGTGTCTTGTGTTGAAAGCTGAGGTTCTTGCTATTGTTCATTCTTATTTATGGCCTTTTATGGGATTGGTGCTCCTTTAAAGAGACCTGTCAGCCATTCCTTGTGGGCAGCTCTGTTTATTGACACACAATATGCTCTGTGTTAGTTATGCATGAATCATCGGCATTACTACAATCTGGAAGACCACAAAATTTTATAAGAGGTGGTGCCTTTCCTTCTATCAGGTTTCTCAAATGTCCCCTTAGAACTTGCTCATCTGACCTTACTTTGGATTCATGCTTTTCACTAGGAATGGTGTATTGCTACTGGATTTTAAAATTAAAACTATTCTGAATATATGTGGTAAGAAATATTTTAGGGACCATTTACATGTTAGTATCAATAGTAATCTACATAATATTATTTATTGGTTTCCATGGGCCAGATCTATGCTGAGCACTTCCATGAACAAACTCATTTAATCCTCATAGCTATATTGTGATATATGAATTCCCTCCATGATAAAACCGAGGCTCAAAGAAGTGAAGTAACTTGATCATGAGTACACAGCTGCTGAATGCCAGAGTATTATACTGGCTCAGAGAACTCAGAGGAAGAGTGCCCCATTTACCTGTTCTTTTTGAGATAGAAAGAACTTTTAGCATGTCTGCTTACCACGAATGCAGCATGAGGTCACAAAGTCAGATCTGGATGTGAGTAGCAGCACCTACCCTGCCTATATTAAGTATATAAAGATTGAATCTACAATCTGCATGACTAAGGTCTTTATAATTGTAGGTTGTGATGGCTTTTATAAAAGATGGCCTAACATATATACATACCTCTCCCTACATGTCTATATACAACACACACATACATACACATGCACACATGCAGTGTTGATAGGCTTATATCAGGTTGCTCACAGTTGGACAAGCTGTTTTTGGGATTAGGATTTCTGGATTGGAAGAGGCCTAAGAGATCACCACATTTACAAATGAGGACAACAAAGTTTGGTGAGAGATTTCTTTGTTACTTTCCCCAGGGCCAGCAAAATGACAGTGAGGGTAGGCAGAAACCAAAAGAGTTGTAACATGTAAATGTGATGTTAGAGACTTGGATCATCTGTGAGAGGAACACAGTCCAGATTGGGAGAGGAGCAGACTGGAACCAGAGAGATAATCATGATGGTGGGAGGAGTGGGAAGGGACTGTTCAGGGGGCTGCACAGTGCTATCTGAAAGGCAGGGTATTCAGAAAGCTTTACACCTGAGTTGACCTGATGCCATTTCTTCTTCGTGTGTCCTCATTTTTCTTTCCATAGGCAATGTATAGTGCTCCATGGCTGCATATCTATGGGTAATTTGGTTTCGCTGTGTTCAGGGAGGCTGGCTTAAGAGTATGCACTTGACATCTTGCCAGGACGCTGAATTTTGAAGTGTATTAGAAGGTATCTCCAAGGGGAAGTCAACTTTCAAGACTAAAAGTGGCCTGCACTGAGTCCACCAAGTCTCAGGTAAGATGAGAGTGAAGGGTTTGACTCCCAAAGGAGGTCAGGGCCAGTTGGTCTTTATAGAGCTGACTTCAGGAGCCAAATTCTATACTACTCTCACCCACAATCCTCCCGCACTCCACATAGTCTACCCATTCTTCCCTCAGATGCTGAGTTGACCCGATACTCATCTTTCCCCATCTTCCTGCAAATGCCTGGTCCCAGTCCAAACTAGATGAAAGAGTACTAACAAATAATCCAAGTCCACAGCTGACAAAACAACCCACAGCACACGTCCTGTGCCCAGATGGGGACTGGGGTCAACTGTGTCATCTGTCTTTATGGAAGAGAGCATGTTATTATGCTAATTACAGTGTACTGGGCTTTCCTGGGAACCAAAAATAGAGATATGTGGCTTCTAGGGACAGGCACCAACATTCCTTTGGCTTCCTTTGCTATGTGATTTTTGAAAGAAATCTTTGCCATGCTTAGAAAAGGTGGGGAGGGGGCTTCCAGAAGATATGCTGCCTTAGGCATTTTGGGAAGGGCAGGTGCATATGACCTATGCCACTGTCACATTTTGCCCTCTTCATGATGCTGTTCCCTGTGGTCATGTGTGATTGCAAGAGAAATAAAACAGGCAACCCCACTCTGTCTTCTACTCCAGCCTTTCGATTTCCAGGCTCTTCACATCTCTTAATGAGGAGTTGCACACCACAACCCAGCTTGGGTGGGCCCCAGAGACGTTTTCCCTGGAGAAGAAATTGGAGAGAGTTTCATGCTGACTCTGCAACAGGATGAGAGAAGGAATTAGCATTTATTGAGCTCCCGCTGTGTGCTCTTCTGCGCCAGATGCTTTTGCTGAACACCGCAAAATCTCTGGAAGGTAAATGAAGAATTGAAAGCTCTGGATAAAGAAGCCAAGGGTGGAGCTGGATTCTGGGGCCAAGTCTGTTCACTCCAAGCTCAAGTTCTTCCTGTGTATATCCACTGCAGAAAGAACAGACTTCTTAGTGGCTTAGCTGCCTGTGTGATATCTCTTGGGAGATACAGTGGAAGTGCAATGGGACAGGACAGGAAACATTCTTACTATTTCTGTTCTTAGGTAGGCATAATCAACTGATGTTCACAAACTCAAATGCCTTTGGTGGCTTGGTGAGATGTGTAAATGTGAGTGAAGTATGGTGAATAGGGAGTTGGGGGGACAGATCTATAATGGAACCAGGGCACAGACGTCCCATCAGAAGACATCAGCATTCACATTTTAAAACACATTGTTGGCCAAACCAAACATTTCTGTGAACCAGGGCCAAGGACTGCCATTTCAGGACTGCTAATTCAGATGCCCCTTTAAGTGTCAAAGGCATTGTGTAATGTTGGATTTCTTCATTTTTTTTAAAGGAGAATAAATTTGTTACCTACACAAATTAAAAACTATATATGCATACATGCAGAAATACACATGTGTATGTGTGTATTATATATTTATATATATCTTGAGTGGAAGGAATATGATGAGTGTTACATTATTATTTGTACTTTCTCTTCAAATTCCTTTTACATATTAAAAGAAAATATAGCATGTGAGAACTAAAAGCAACCTTAGTGCTTTAATCTAACTTACTCATTTTATAGATTAAAAGAACTGAGGTCCAGAGAGAAAGAATCTTCTCAGTTTCACATAGCTGCTGGGAGAGCCAGACCTGGGCCCCTGAGTCCTTGTCCATCATCCCTTTCAGTACAGGCTCATCCATGCAGAAGTGTGTGTGCTAGACAGGAGTCAAAACAACATGAATGGATATACTTGCAGCAATGGTTTACACTGCTTTAAGGTCAAGTCTAGGCAGTGTGACTATGCCCAGTTGGCAGAGGAGGACATAATTTGCTTTGAGGCCTCCTGGCTAAGTGCACTGTATGAGAGAGTAAAGATGTGAGCCTGGTGTTCTAACACAAACCCACTTGGCTTGGGTTATTTATCTGCTATGAGAGTCTAAGTGGAGCTACCCTAAGGAGGATGTCCTTGGTCTGAGAATGGAGCAGTGGAGTCTTTTCTCTGAATGGAGCAAGAGGTTCTGAGTGGACAAGTGAAGGGGGAATTTTCTTTAAACAAAATTTAAAACCCCACACCCACTGGGCTGAAATTTGTTCTGACTCTAGATGAAAGGTGCTTTGAATTCCTTGGGAAAAGAATCAGAATATTAGAGCTGGAAAGAACTATGAAGAATAACCAGTCAAATTCCTCATTACCAATGGGGAAAGGTACAAGAAAAGAAGGCATGATCATCCTTAGAGCGTGTGAGTTCTGGGAAAATAGTTTATGCAGGGTCCCGGTCTATATAAAAAATTTGAAACAATAATAAGAAATTATAATTTTAAAATAATATAATACATATAATAATAATAAAATTATAATTAGGAAATAAAATCATTTTCTAATAAGGACATTATAAAATTCATGGACCCATATAAGGCATAGTAATTTATCAGTGAAGATTTGGAATAATGAGTATAGAAGAGGCACATGTGTATTTGTTTGTTGTCCTGTCAGTGCATTGAATATTCTTTGTGGACTCCAGGCATTGTGTCTTCCTTTTTTGGTTCATGAACCATCTCTTCACGTTCTTTATTGTGAAATACACCTGGGTAATTTAATATCTCCTACTATGAGAAAAATATAGCAACACTCATAGTGCTATGTCTCCTTGGAACCTCTTTGTATTGAAACAAAATAGATCTTCTTGCTTCTGTGGTTCCTTAATGCCATCTATTTAATGTTGGTCTTATCATTACTCATGGCATTGCATCATGTTCTGTGCTACTTGTGAATAATGGCTTCCAGTGACTCTCTCAGAGATTGTGACTGTGCTTCATTGATGATGATCACTGTATCAGTCAGGGTCAAAGAAACAGAATCAATAGGATATGTATACATTAAGAAATTTATTGTAAGAAATCAGTTATGCAATTGTGAGAGCTGGATAAGCAAGTATGAACTCCTTCAGGAAGACTGTTGGGAAGGTGGGCTGGAACTCGTAGGCATGAGCCAACACTCCTATTCACAGGCAGAATTTCTTCTTCAGGAAAGCCTCAGTTCTGCACTTAAAGTCTTTCAACCGATTGGATGAGGCTCATTTGGATGTCAGGATAATCTTCACATGAAGTGAATTTATTAGAGATGTTTATCATATCTATTTAGATTAATATTTACTTGAAAATGTGGGACTGCTGCCATGTCAAGATGGCACATAAAACTGACCATCACCATTATAAATGCAAATTTTACCTAGAATATTCTGGAAAATATGAATGATACCTCATTTTCTGGTCATGCTAAATTTACTGTTTAGAATTTTAATGTTTTTTTTAATTTTTATTTATTTATGATAGTCACACAGAGAGAGAGAGAGGCAGAGACAAAGGCAGAGGGAGAAGCAGACTCCATGCACCGGGAGCCTGACGTGGGATTCGATCCCGGGTCTCCAGGATCACGCCCCGGGCCAAAGGCAGGCGCTAAACCTTCCCTGTTTAGAATTTTATAGCATAAATGTAGAATAACATGTCCTCCAACTATATCTTCTACTGAATTCTCTAGGCTGTAATCACTGCATTTCTAAACTGTTATCACTCTCAATGTTGATTGTACCCCTGCTTTCCACACTAGCAGGTAGTCCAAGGCTCATTCATGGAGCTATTAACACAAGGTATAGTCATCTGTTCTCCAGCATCATTTAACACTGACCTGAAAAGACACAATGTCACTACATTGATTGATGGGAAGAAAGGACATTGATCCAATACACCTATTGGCTTTGTGGAGTAACAGCTTGAAACTCTTGGAAGAGATAGGTGCAGCCAACTGTAGAGGGAGCAGAGCCTGTGGTAGGTAAGGGGTAGCTGTCCTATGTACCCATGGCAGAGGGTTCACAAAGTAAAATACCTCTGCTACCCTCGGGAACTATAGACTAGACATGGCACTGTGGTCAGAACACAACTGAGTTAGAGCCCAGGGGCACATGCACAGGGCCCAGAGCCAAGAGTTGATGATGAGCTATTGTAAGCCCAGAGCCCTGACCTCATCTTGTGTCTGATGTGATGAGAATCACCTCAAATCAGCATATCAGCACCATTCTGGCAGCCCAATCTCATGCAATGCCTCAATAGAAATACCACATCAGCCAGCAGGGGCAGTCTGCTTATCAGGTCACCCTAGGACAACCTCATATACATGAGTCCTGATGTCCCTCAAGGTATTGGGTCAACACTATCCATGGGATAGGTCAGAGGGCATTTTGACAGGAGAAATGGGGATGAGACCCACATGGATCCCAATCTGTGCTTAGGATACCTTGCTGAAATAGTAGTGTTGGCCCTGGCTGGTTCCAAGTACATAAGTGTTCTTAGGAATGCTTTGAGAAAGATATTCCAAAGCAAGGGGAGCACAGTGGGGTGCCAAGGTATAGGGATTGGAGTAGGGACTCCACTTGCTTGCCCAGATCTGAGAGTGGTGCTAGAGGAAGAAAATTGTTTAGGATCACACAGCTGGTTGCTGGCAAACCTGTGGTGTTGGTGAGGTGTGACCAAGAAAGTTGCTACTAGTAATTATTAAGGAACTGAAGCTTATAAATGCTTCACTAAAAAAGTAGGACAGATGTAATCCCTATGAAATCCCCACTGTTACTTGTATTGGTATGCTTTCTTGAGACTCAGAAAATGAGGGCTAGCCCAATGGGAATGTAACCCGGCTATATCTATGAGGGTTTTCTAGAGCTAGGTAAGGAAGGAGTGGCCCATTGGGCATACTGGCCTAGAATGTCAGTCTACAGAGGGTGCTAAGACACCAAACCATCAATAAAGTGTAACATAATGGAAAAAGCTGCAGTTTCCAGAGTTCCTGCAGGGCCAACAGTCCATATGTGCTCCAGGGATGGAGGTGTAGAAGTGGTGAAGAGTTTAAGGGGCAAGCAAAACAAATACATACAAAATCCAGAAAACATCAAGGTTGTTGAGAATATAGAGCACCTGATATTCTCAAACACTGCTGATGGGAGTATGACTTGGCACAATCTTCTTTTCTCTGCCTCTTGAGAAGGTGCCTTCTTGAGAGTCAGAGAGAATAAGGACCAAGGGAACATGAGTTACCTGGATATCTGTCTTCATAGTCTAACAAGAGAAACTTGCAGAAACATCCATTTCATTTATTTTCTGTGTTGCTCATCTGTATAGCACCAATTTCTCTCATGTTCTAGGCATTGTCATATTATAAAACAGTGATGGGAGACCCCTTCCTGTGGTGTTCCACACAGATCCATGCCCATTCTGTTATGCTAATCTGATTATGCTATAGCCCTGTCTAAGACCTTCTGCATCTCTAGTCTAGGATTAGATGTAGTTTCTTGTGCCTGGTGTCCAAGGCCACATATGGCCTGTTCTGGCTCTTTTTCCAGCTACATTTACCATTGTTGCTAGGTGATGGACTTCATGTGGAAAGCAGGAGTATACTAGACACCTGGTGCTATAAAGATGAGCATGATTAAGTGTCAGTCTAGGCGGTGGACTAATAAGCAAACTGACAACTCTATGTGCAGGGTATCAGAGAAGAAGCAGGACTATTTAAGTTCTCAAGGGGAGGGAGAGCTAGTGGTAGAAATTTAAAACATTGACTATGAACAGAGAGAATGGAGAGACCTGATCTTGGAGTCTTACAGAGCCTGGGACTTAGGGTTACTAGCTGAATGCCACTTTCTGAGTCTTGTTCTCTATTTTTTCAAATGAGGAAATGTATTCTTGTTCTATTCCCTTCACAGAACGATTTTGTAGGATTTAGATGACAAGCAATAAGCATTCTAGAAATGGAAAGCATTATTGAGGGTAGGGAGCTGGCAGGCTCTGCCTTTAGGAAATCTGACCTAAGAAGGTGGAAATCCAGTTCCATTTGTGCATAGAATCACATGACTCTAGTTAGGCTCGGCTACCCTGTTATGCAAAATCACCATAGAGATGGAGATAATACTAGTGGGTGCATAGTTTTAGCCCTTGACACCCAGAATGCAACAGATGATTTAAGGGCTAAACAGCGTGGTCCATCTGCAGAGGTTGGCTGGCATTCTGTTTTGTTTGTGGTTCCCCTGTAACCTCAGGATGAAGGGCCACTGCAACAATCAGAGCCGGTATTGATTGTGTTTGTATTTAAACACTTAGAAACTAAGGAATTGACTGCTGGATGTTTCCTGATGCTTTATGACAGGTGTGGCTCAGGGACCACTCCTTCAAGGCTGGAAGCATCATCTACTGCTGTAAAACAGCTCAATCATTTCTCATCCCTGGCATCCTCACTGCTCTACTGGTTCCTCTCTCCCTCCTCTCTTACACTCTAGTGCTGCCAGGAATGGCTCTCAATACAGTGAGCCTTAGGCTGCCAGAGTCAGAGT